TGTGTACACAGTACACCCAAGAGTCGACCATTTGTTAAAATGGGATGACTATGATTTCAGGGTGAGATTTAGACTTGGAAAGGATGTTGTTCTTCAAGTATTAGAGTACATTGAAGATGAGATATCATCACCAACTGATAGGTGAGTTTAAATACATGTTTGACAGGTGAATTAATAATATTCTTTATGTAACAAATTACATCATTTTATGAATGTATTTTARAAATAATGCCGTAACAACGATCAACAAACTATTGCTGACCATTCGATTCTATGCTACTTGCAATTTTTTGATAACGGCTGGTGATTTTATGGGTGTGAGTAAAACCACAGCTTGTTTAATTGTACGTAATGTCAGTGTAGCGATAGCAAAACTTCGACCAAGATTCATCCGTATGCCAGAGACTGAAACTGAAATAAAAAATTTACAACGCYGGTTTTATGAAATAGCACGGTTTCCAARAACAATAGGTGCAATTGATTGCACTCACATAAAAATTCAAAACCCTGGTAAGAGTTAATGTAACACTTGGTAGTAATRTTRTATGATTTTAATTAAAACAATGTTAATAGGTGGTCCAAATGGTGAATACTTTAGAAATCGTAAAGGGTATTTTTCATTAAACGTTCAAACAATTTCATGTCCGGATTTAAAAATAATGGATGTTGTTGCACGTTGGCCAGGGTCATGTCACGACCAAACTATTTTTAAGAAGTCTCGTGTTTACAATAAATTGGTCAGTGGTTATTGGAAAAATAGTCTAATTGTWGCTGATAGTGGCTACGSTAATTCACAATATGTTGTCACTCCATACTTAAACCCTCAAAATGCCCCTGAAGGATTATACAATGAATCTTTAATTAGAACTAGGAATCCAGTTGAGAGATCATACGGAGTTCTAAAACGTAGATTTCCCGTCCTATCTTTTGGATCACGTTTAAAAATGGAWAMCACCCAAGCTATGATCGTTGCTTGTTGTATTTTACATAATTTAGCATGTGATCATAATGATTTAGAACCACCCGAACTATTAGGTATGTGTATGCCAGTTATAGATGACTTCAATTTAAGAGAGGAACATGAACCAGAAGTTGGAAATGCGAGACAGCAGTTAACTGAAGAATATTTTTCAGTTTTGATTTAACCACATCGTTTCAGCTAAGAATGAAGATTATGACCAATACTCATWGGCACAAATAGAATGCCAATTGAATACTGATATGATTAAGATTGTGTAAATATTGATGTATATTTCTAGATGTTTATTTAGCAATAAATATATTTTGTRACTTATTTTAATTTGTTGTACATATTTGATCATTTGTTAATCATTTAAACACATTTAAGCATTYATAAAATAAAAATAATAACTTCTAACAGTATTATTAAAACAAAAAACAATACAAACAAACTAAATATTTTTAACAAAGAATAAAGTTAGTTGTACATATTATAACAATATATAACATACATTTCTAAAATAAAAAATAATAATAATAAACAAGCTGGGTGTAAAACATTTTAATACAAAAACCTAGAAGTTATTATTTTTATTTTATAAATGCTTAAATGTGTTTAAATGATTAACAAATGATCAAATATGTACAACAAATTAAATATTTTTAACAAAGAATAAAGTTAGTTGTACATATTATAACAATATATAACATACATTTCTAAAATAAAAAATAATAATAATAAACAAGCTGGGTGTAAAACATTTTAATACAAAAACCTAGAAGTTATTATTTTTATTTTATAAATGCTTAAATGTGTTTAAATGATTAACAAATGATCAAATATGTACAACAAATTAAATATTTTTAACAAAGAATAAAGTTAGTTGTACATATTATAACAATATATAACATACATTTCTAAAATAAAAAATAATAATAATAAACAAGCTGGGTGTAAAACATTTTAATACAAAAACCTAGAAGTTATTATTTTTATTTTATAAATGCTTAAATGTGTTTAAATGATTAACAAATGATCAAATATGTACAACAAATTAAATATTTTTAACAAAGAATAAAGTTAGTTGTACATATTATAACAATATATAACATACATTTCTAAAATAAAAAATAATAATAATAAACAAGCTGGGTGTAAAACATTTTAATACAAAAACCTAGAAGTTATTATTTTTATTTTATAAATGCTTAAATGTGTTTAAATGATTAACAAATGATCAAATATGTACAACAAATTAAATATTTTTAACAAAGAATAAAGTTAGTTGTACATATTATAACAATATATAACATACATTTCTAAAATAAAAAATAATAATAATAAACAAGCTGGGTGTAAAACATTTTAATACAAAAACCTAGAAGTTATTATTTTTATTTTATAAATGCTTAAATGTGTTTAAATGATTAACAAATGATCAAATATGTACAACAAATTAAATATTTTTAACAAAGAATAAAGTTAGTTGTACATATTATAACAATATATAACATACATTTCTAAAATAAAAAATAATAATAATAAACAAGCTGGGTGTAAAACATTTTAATACAAAAACCTAGAAGTTATTATTTTTATTTTATAAATGCTTAAATGTGTTTAAATGATTAACAAATGATCAAATATGTACAACAAATTAAATATTTTTAACAAAGAATAAAGTTAGTTGTACATATTATAACAATATATAACATACATTTCTAAAATAAAAAATAATAATAATAAACAAGCTGGGTGTAAAACATTTTAATACAAAAACCTAGAAGTTATTATTTTTATTTTATAAATGCTTAAATGTGTTTAAATGATTAACAAATGATCAAATATGTACAACAAATTAAATATTTTTAACAAAGAATAAAGTTAGTTGTACATATTATAACAATATATAACATACATTTCTAAAATAAAAAATAATAATAATAAACAAGCTGGGTGTAAAACATTTTAATACAAAAACCTAGAAGTTATTATTTTTATTTTATAAATGCTTAAATGTGTTTAAATGATTAACAAATGATCAAATATGTACAACAAATTAAATATTTTTAACAAAGAATAAAGTTAGTTGTACATATTATAACAATATATAACATACATTTCTAAAATAAAAAATAATAATAATAAACAAGCTGGGTGTAAAACATTTTAATACAAAAACCTAGAAGTTATTATTTTTATTTTATAAATGCTTAAATGTGTTTAAATGATTAACAAATGATCAAATATGTACAACAAATTAAATATTTTTAACAAAGAATAAAGTTAGTTGTACATATTATAACAATATATAACATACATTTCTAAAATAAAAAATAATAATAATAAACAAGCTGGGTGTAAAACATTTTAATACAAAAACCTAGAAGTTATTATTTTTATTTTATAAATGCTTAAATGTGTTTAAATGATTAACAAATGATCAAATATGTACAACAAATTAAATATTTTTAACAAAGAATAAAGTTAGTTGTACATATTATAACAATATATAACATACATTTCTAAAATAAAAAATAATAATAATAAACAAGCTGGGTGTAAAACATTTTAATACAAAAACCTAGAAGTTATTATTTTTATTTTATAAATGCTTAAATGTGTTTAAATGATTAACAAATGATCAAATATGTACAACAAATTAAATATTTTTAACAAAGAATAAAGTTAGTTGTACATATTATAACAATATATAACATACATTTCTAAAATAAAAAATAATAATAATAAACAAGCTGGGTGTAAAACATTTTAATACAAAAACCTAGAAGTTATTATTTTTATTTTATAAATGCTTAAATGTGTTTAAATGATTAACAAATGATCAAATATGTACAACAAATTAAATATTTTTAACAAAGAATAAAGTTAGTTGTACATATTATAACAATATATAACATACATTTCTAAAATAAAAAATAATAATAATAAACAAGCTGGGTGTAAAACATTTTAATACAAAAACCTAGAAGTTATTATTTTTATTTTATAAATGCTTAAATGTGTTTAAATGATTAACAAATGATCAAATATGTACAACAAATTAAATATTTTTAACAAAGAATAAAGTTAGTTGTACATATTATAACAATATATAACATACATTTCTAAAATAAAAAATAATAATAATAAACAAGCTGGGTGTAAAACATTTTAATACAAAAACCTAGAAGTTATTATTTTTATTTTATAAATGCTTAAATGTGTTTAAATGATTAACAAATGATCAAATATGTACAACAAATTAAATATTTTTAACAAAGAATAAAGTTAGTTGTACATATTATAACAATATATAACATACATTTCTAAAATAAAAAATAATAATAATAAACAAGCTGGGTGTAAAACATTTTAATACAAAAACCTAGAAGTTATTATTTTTATTTTATAAATGCTTAAATGTGTTTAAATGATTAACAAATGATCAAATATGTACAACAAATTAAATATTTTTAACAAAGAATAAAGTTAGTTGTACATATTATAACAATATATAACATACATTTCTAAAATAAAAAATAATAATAATAAACAAGCTGGGTGTAAAACATTTTAATACAAAAACCTAGAAGTTATTATTTTTATTTTATAAATGCTTAAATGTGTTTAAATGATTAACAAATGATCAAATATGTACAACAAATTAAATATTTTTAACAAAGAATAAAGTTAGTTGTACATATTATAACAATATATAACATACATTTCTAAAATAAAAAATAATAATAATAAACAAGCTGGGTGTAAAACATTTTAATACAAAAACCTAGAAGTTATTATTTTTATTTTATAAATGCTTAAATGTGTTTAAATGATTAACAAATGATCAAATATGTACAACAAATTAAATATTTTTAACAAAGAATAAAGTTAGTTGTACATATTATAACAATATATAACATACATTTCTAAAATAAAAAATAATAATAATAAACAAGCTGGGTGTAAAACATTTTAATACAAAAACCTAGAAGTTATTATTTTTATTTTATAAATGCTTAAATGTGTTTAAATGATTAACAAATGATCAAATATGTACAACAAATTAAATATTTTTAACAAAGAATAAAGTTAGTTGTACATATTATAACAATATATAACATACATTTCTAAAATAAAAAATAATAATAATAAACAAGCTGGGTGTAAAACATTTTAATACAAAAACCTAGAAGTTATTATTTTTATTTTATAAATGCTTAAATGTGTTTAAATGATTAACAAATGATCAAATATGTACAACAAATTAAATATTTTTAACAAAGAATAAAGTTAGTTGTACATATTATAACAATATATAACATACATTTCTAAAATAAAAAATAATAATAATAAACAAGCTGGGTGTAAAACATTTTAATACAAAAACCTAGAAGTTATTATTTTTATTTTATAAATGCTTAAATGTGTTTAAATGATTAACAAATGATCAAATATGTACAACAAATTAAATATTTTTAACAAAGAATAAAGTTAGTTGTACATATTATAACAATATATAACATACATTTCTAAAATAAAAAATAATAATAATAAACAAGCTGGGTGTAAAACATTTTAATACAAAAACCTAGAAGTTATTATTTTTATTTTATAAATGCTTAAATGTGTTTAAATGATTAACAAATGATCAAATATGTACAACAAATTAAATATTTTTAACAAAGAATAAAGTTAGTTGTACATATTATAACAATATATAACATACATTTCTAAAATAAAAAATAATAATAATAAACAAGCTGGGTGTAAAACATTTTAATACAAAAACCTAGAAGTCATTTCTATTTAATTTCTGTTTTTTTATAGCAATATCAAGTTCTAATGACTGAAGCTCAAGTGCATGTTTTGTCTTTAGGAATGTCATATTTTCTACATGTTCTTCTTTTAACAAGGATATCTGAAGTTCAACCAATACTTGTTT